AAGGAAGGAAGGAAGGAAGGAAGGAAGGAAGGAAGGAAGGAAGGAAGGAAGGAAGGAAGGAAGAAAAAACAGCATAACACAGGCGTATGCTTTCCAGGAACAGATTCATCTCTCTATGCTTTTATTTCTCTGGAAAGTTTGCCTTGAATTATGTGAGTTTTTTTAATTATGTGAGAGTTTGGGAATGTTCCTTGTTCACCAAATGCAACCACCTGTTTTTGAAACTCCAGCCTGGACTCCCTCACTGATTTCTCCCTCCTGTGTGCTACAGAGGCCTCATCTAGTCTAGAAAGATGCCTTCAGGCCTTGGATCTGCTTTTCCACTAAATTTATGGCTTCTGAGACCAAAGTTGGGAAGCCCACTAGTCTCGGAAAAACCGTTCTGCAGATGGAGATAGTGGAGAAAGCCTGTGTTTTAGCTGTAGTCTTTTGTAAAGTAACGGCATCATCAATGAATACTTGCTCATTAATTTTCAGTTTATGAATCACTCCCACAAACGACCATTCTGCACACCCAAAGCAAGACAAATGATGGGAATTTCATATTGGATTGGGAGGGTATGTAGCCCTTAGGAGGAAGCAAGAAACCCAGGCCAATAAGGGCCATTTTAGATGTAGCTGTAGAGTTCCTTCAAAATCACACCTGCCCCACCTGTGAGTTCTGATAGCCCTCACCGGACATGGCAGATCTAGACATCAGAGAGTATTGTTTTACAAATACCCATGCTGCCCAAGTCTACCAGGTTAGCCATTTCCACCCCTACAGTGTGTTCTCTGTTTATCCTCATGCTTTATATAACCACCCTCTCTTACTGAATGCGTAATTCTGAGATAAGCTGAACACTATTCCAGGCTTGCATTTGGTTTACCTCATTGAACACACAGTAAATTGACTCACTTTGTAGTGCTTAGCCATGGCCAAGCACAGCATCCCACTGATAAGCTCAACCCAAGTCTACCTCTCTGGCCAAGAGCGTTAACTTTCTCTTGTTCCTTTTTGTTTCTACGGCAGCTGGCATTCTTTATAGCAGAGTGATCTTTGGGGAGGAGACTGATTTTATCCTTTGGCAAGAATTGCTGATTGAGAAGAGGACTGACCGCAGGCTGTTTGGTGTGGGTGTGAGGGACCACCCCTGGGTCTCTCATTAGCTAGGGGATATGAGAGGTCTGCTACTTCTTGCCAGGTTCAAACCATGCTTCTAAACCATGCCTACGCAGATTCACTGATCTACGCCACGATTTCTGACTAGGCCAGTGTTATATCCGTGAATGTCGAGGACCTCCTGGTAATTATTCAGCCAGAGGAACAGGGCTGGGAGCCAGCCTCTCAGGAGGATGATAAGCTGCTGCTGCTTGCATCCAACACTGTGAGGGTGACTCATTAGGCTGGGAGCACTGGAGTAGTGATGAGCTTGGCTCACCCCCAGCCTTCTTGTCTCCATACGTCAATAGTAGGAGCCTGGAAGATCTCAGGCCAGCTCCAGGGATGCTCAGAGCTTGACCTTTCTCACCCCATGAAGCCAAGAAAGTCAGAAGGAACTGGACATGTGGCACTGGCCTTAGTTAACTCTGTATTCCATAACAGGGAATAAGCAAGTGTGGAAAACACTGTATGACAACCATGATACTTTCTGAAATCTGAAAATTCTCATAAATGCTGTTATGAGAATACAACTAGATGAAAGCTAAGAATTGCAGGACAAAGCCTGCTCATCTCCATTTACATGACCCTGGAGGAGTCTTGTACCCCCAGAGCTATGGGACACCCACAGGGCCTAGCCCCTTAATGGGAATGTCAGCCTGCACATGCCTCTCCAGTGACTTACAGGTGCTGCTGGCTAGTATCTGCTTTTATTGTTCAGGACTGGGACCATCCTGGTTGCTAAACACTTTGAATCTGATCCAGTAAGCAATATATCTCCCAGGGCTAGTTTAGCCATGGTCTGTAGTCTCCTGCCCTCTCAGAAAGCAGAAACAGGAAGTGGGTGGGCTTAATGTGCAGAAACAGGATCTCACTATGTACCCAGGATTGCCTCAAACCCATGATCCGTGATCTCTTAGGTGCTGAGATTACAAGTGTATGCTCCCACATCCGGATTGTTACATCACATTCTGCAAAGCTACATTTCCATGGGACTTGGCAGGGGAAAGAAGAAGCGACAGTGGGTTGTACAGGTACAGTAGGTGAACAACATGCAGCCAGCGCATTGCTCCTTATCTGCAGGCTCTTCCCTACTCACCTCCTTGCCTCTCTCAGTTCTGCTGACATGGCCGAAATCACATATAGCAAGTGCAACCAGGTACGTTGGCATGCGGGGTGTGGTATGGAAGGTGGTGACCGTCCATCTACTTCCATTCACATCGATTCTTTCAGACTGATCTGAAGGAATATTTTAGTCCAAATCACTATAAACCTAGATAACATGCAACCTTGAAACAATTTGTCAAGACGGTTGCCCACCAGTCACTCCTTCCTACATACTCCCTGAAATATCACACTATAACTCAAAAACATACAAAATTAGTATGCTGTTCAAAAGTGTGTGTACATGTTGAGTGTGTGTGTGTGTGTGTGTGTGTGTGTGTGTGTGTGTGTGTGTGTTGACAGAGGTCAGCACTGAACATCTTGCTCAATTGTTCTCCATCTTGTCTTTTGAGATAGGGACTCTAAACCTGGAGCTCCCCAGTTCAGCTAGACTGGCTGGCCAGCAAGACCCCAGGGAACCCCCTGCCTCTGTCTCCCCAATCCTGAGATTACAGCTGTATCCCAACATGCCTGGCTTTTCACATGGGCGCCGGAGATCCAACTCAGATCCCACTGCATGTGTGGCAGGCATTTACTGACCAAGTCATTTCCCCAGTCCCCAGAACTATTTCATAGTATTTTCCATTATAATGATAACTACTCTGCTATGATCGTTACCTACTCCATCTATGTATAAAATCATCACACTTTATCCCCCAAATCTATTAAATTGTCAGAATGATTTTTAAGTGAATAAAAAGTACATTTGAAGGACCTAATAATGGGCTCTTAGGCCTGAATCAGCATCCTGAGTGATGGGAGGTTAACTGAACGTCAAACCCATGGGCACTGTCAGTTTTCTCCCCAGCCGATACCCTCTCTTTCCACCTACTTCCATTTCCTGGTTTAGCACAGCATTTGCTCTAGAGCTGCCCTGAGTCCAGAGTGAACCAGAGACGGCAAGTCCACCTTTAATGGCCTTCAGAGGACTCTTCAGCAGCCACTGCTGTCCGGAGCCTGAAGCTGAAGTCGCAAACTCAAATGTTGCTGAGGGCTGGACATCTGACATGGGGTAGGATACAGGAACAGGGGGACTGAGGCAGTTGACAGTGGCTCAGGGTACCATAAAGAGGCTACCCGTTCTCAGCTTCCATTTATTAAAGTCATAGAAATGCTGTAGGTCCAGTGTTAACTGAATGTTAGAGTTACCAAGGGAACAAAAAAATCTAGGTTTTTATTTGATATCTCTAGACCTTTAAAAGTCAGAAACCAATGCAGTCAAGATAAGAAAGTTGCCCAAGGTGAATAAAACACATCTCTGTATCAGCTGAGACCAGCTGCATCCGACTGTTATCAGTAAGGGCCCGCCCATAGCTGAAGCACTAACAGGCAGGCAGACTATCAGTATGTAGAGCCGGTATCGTGTCCTCAGATCCCCACACAGAAAGAACAAGGATGTATCTTCTCTAAGTGTGAGGGCCGATGCTAGTCTCATGTGACTGCTCTCCACAGTTACAACAGACCAAGGCTACTAACACACTGCCTAGAGAAGCAGACATGAGAGCTAATATTTTCATGTTTATACAACGGCAGGAAACATTACTTACCTAGCTGTGGCATATTGGAAAGAGCCACATACCCAGGATGGTGAATAATTGTAATGTTAAAAGTTGCCTTCAGAGCTGGCTCATCAAAACAGGGGAAAACATTCCTGGCATATGTTGGTTCCATTTGGGATGCAATCAGGGCTCTGAAATACATTTGGGGGATTTTTTTTCTTAGATCAATGGAAACAAATACAGAGAGAGAGAGAGAGAGAGAGAGAGAGGAGAGGAGAGGAGAGGAGAGGAGA